CTCTCTCTCTCTCTCTCTGTCTCTCATGAATAAATAAATAAAATCTTTAAAAAAAAAAAAAAAAAAAAAAAAGGACACAGGTCTTAAAATGGCAACCCAAAAGCCCCACACTGTGTGATGGGGCACTGATCGTGGTCAGTGAGCTCCCCAGAAGCCTGGAAGGCTGGTGACACACTGTCTGTGGACGGGTCTCTACCTTGAAGCTCGTGTACCTTCTGCAGCACTATCTCCAGCTCTGGGGCTGTTTTCTTCACGTGAGAGGTGAGTATGGACAGGCAGTACCTGCGGTGGTAAGTGGAGAACCCCAGAATGAGAAGGATGAACAAGCTGAGTAAGGACAAGAGTACACTTCGGTGACTCCAAAGATGCCAACTAATGACAGCGCACATACTTGTGGGGGTTTATGCTCTCCATGGCTGCTCTCAGAGCGTCACAGACAAGGTCTACTTTTTTCCCATCAGGATCCTTGCACGGCTGGACAGTGCTAGTGCTGGTAACTGGTGGAGGATACATGGTCTTTGTAACATCCTCTTCCCTAAGAACAAGTTAAGAGGTCACTTACTGAACGCGTGTCCCAGCTACCAAATGATGAACATATACCCAGCAGGCTGAGGAGGGAATAAAAATGGCTTTTGGACAACAGATTCATCATATTCACATAAGGTGAAAAATGAAGAAACGAACTGAGAAATGAGAACATTTTCATGTAAGACTCATCCAGTGATGTTACAGATGTTTTATTCATATTAGCCCCAAACTGGGTGCAGACAGGTGTCCAACTCCAAGGGAACAGATAAACAAATTGTAGCATATCTGCACTAGGGCACACAACTGAGGGGTAAACATGAAGGAACTGGTGATGCCAGTAAAGTGTCTCAAGGTAATATGCTGAGTGAGAGCAGTAAACACTACACGCTTCCGCTTCAAGTTCAACAGGCAAAACTCCTCTATGGTAAAAAACTCACAACAGTGGTTGCCTAGGGAGTGCGGACAGGACGGACTGACATGAGGTTTGGAGGAACTTTCTGAGGTGAAGGAAATGTTCTCTACCTCAGTAGAGGTCTGGGTTACACATTGGTCAGAACTCACTGAATAGTGCATTTACGATTTATGCATTTCACCACATGTGAATCTGACCCACAGAGAATGCACTCTAGTCAGCGTTCTACGAAGTGAAACACTGAGACATAAAGTGGACTGAAGGCTACAATTAACTGAAAATTTGCCTTAAAAAAGACGAACGGAGGGGCGCCTAGGTGGCTCAGATGGTTAAGCGGCTGCCTTCGGCTCAGGTCATGATCCTGGGGTCCTGGGATCGAGCCCCACATCTGGCTCCTGGCTCAGCGGGGAGCCTGCTTCTCCCTCTCCCTCTGCCTCTGCCTCTCCCCCTGCTCATACTCTCTCTCTCTGTATCTCTGTCTCTAATGAATAAATAAAATCTTAAAAAAAAAAGATGAATGATGGATGGATAGATGGTACATCGTGACAAAGCAAATATAGGAAAATATATACTAGAGAGTCTAGATGGTGGTACAGGATGCCAACTGGACGGCTTTTCTTATATGTTTAAAATGTTTTCTTAAGTTGGAAAAAAGTCATTGCAGAAAAACATACCATTTGATTTCAATTTCCTAAGACAAACAGTCTTATATATACACTTAGAAATAGTCAATTATAATTCTAAATGACATGTTTTCAAGTCTTAGTTTTAAATAGGCTGTTTTTAAAAAGAAGAGAAAAGGGCAAAAATCTATTACAGGTGGCATCTGAGAATTATAGTGATAAAAAAAATACCAAACACAAAGTTAATTTTTCTCCTTTAGCTATTTATCTGTTTGATTTCCTAAACTAGATAAATTATGGATATGATACTCAGGAATTATTCAAAATACTTACTTCAATTCTGTGAAAAACAAATTAATATGATTTACAGAATCTATCTGTCTTACGAAGGTTTCCACATTTTCAAGAAACACCTACCCAAAAAAAAAAAGGACAAAAAATTTTAGTTCCAATCACATAGGATCAAGTCTAAGGTAAGCTAGAGTTAGTATCAGATTTAGAAAGTTACCTTAGGGTTGTGGTCATGAATCAGATTGAGATTAATTCTCAGTTTCCTCATGCATTCAAATGCTTCCTTAAACATCAGTCTGTGAAGAGGCAGAGAGAATGGATGGAAAGGTCATTTTACAAAAACTAAACTCCCTGGATCCAACACCATTATTATGATATAAACCAGTTATAATTAGATTATAGTCCAAATGCCAAACAACTACTACTGGATTTCTACTCTCAACTCACAGAATGAAAAACCAGGTACCAGATTCGCTTGCCTTCGTAAAAGACGGAACTTAGTCACCATGGCAGTCTGAGGACTATACCCCCACATACACATGACCAAAAATCATCACCGAACTTAGGTCTACTTTCTCTTTAACAAAATGCTAATAAAGACAAAGTTTCCCCAAAATAAACTGACAATGGACCATTTCCTTCACAACAGTGGCTCAGGCATTTTTGGGTCACAGGCTCCTCTGTACATCTGCCAAAAGCCTTAGGCCTTCTGCCCGAATAAATACACACAGACACAGTCTGGTGCAATTTCCCTGGGTTCACAGAGCATCTAAAACCTATATGGATCCCCTCAGGCTAGGAAACCCTGTCTTGTATGATGCGTTTCATGATTCTTTCTACTAAGAATATTTACCAGACTAGGTAATTATTAAAATCAAAGTGTAGGAGGAAAAAAAGCCTCTGAGAATCTGATTGAAGACATGTGTAATACAGGTTTTCCGTACTTCTAAGTTTTAAAAACTTTAATAGAATACTTACTATCTTCACATATAAGTCATAACAACAAGCAAACTAGTCATATACATGGTTCTTACTTGTCCAGCCACTTCCGAATCTGAGCTAAAACCAGAGCTTGATGATGAACAACTTCTAAGTTTCCCCTTGGCATCTTAAATAAATCAGAACAATGTTTTTAATTAAATAGAAAAAATTTAAATACCCAGGATACACAACTTCACCTAACTCAACTCTTCACAGAGAACTACCATGATCCTGTAAAATGAGCACACTTCCAGCAGAATCTAGCTGTGCTCAGTACTTATTTTGATTTCCCAGAGAAGCTGCCCTTCCAGCCTTGCTGGGCACAGCCTGTATGAGCACTCCTTTGTATAAAGCTAATGGAGAACCTAGCAAGGAATGGCTTATAATAAACTGCTACAAATGATAAGAAGGCCTAAAATACAATCCGCAAGAACTGTTTTGTATTGACAGCCTAACGACAATCAGAAACAGAGCCTGAAAAATCAGCTTACCTGTAATATAAGCTTTGTGTCCTGGGGAACAACGGTGACAATACGTGAACCCCTCTCCACCTTCCGCAGAGACTCCCCTTTAGACAGATGGCTGATGCTCAGACCTGCATGTAATGCTAAAGACACCACTGGCTAAGCCATAAGAATCACTGTCATGATAAGACACTTGCCATTAACTGAGGTCAAAACTGAACATATGATCCAAAATAGAAGAAAGCAGGGTCGCCTGGGTGGCTCAGTCAGTTAAGCGTCTGCCTTCGGCTCAGGTCATGATCCCAAGGTCCTGGGACCGAGCCCCGCATGAGGCTCCCTGCTCCGCGGGGAGCCTGCTTCTCCCTCTCCCTTTGCCCCTCCCCTCCGCTTGTGCTCTCTCTCTCCAATAAATCAAATCTTAAAAAAAAAAAAAGATTAAAACAAAACAGAATAGAAGAAAGCAATTAACAACGACACCCCTTTGTTCTCCCACTCAACCTTAAGATTAGTAATCTTTCTCATCCCTAGAACTTGCCCTCTCTCACAGAGCCCATGCATATTCACATATATAGCTTCTCAACTGATTCAGAAAACACAGGGAGGATGCAGTGTCTCTACTTATTAGCACTATCAGTACAGTATAATCACATCAGTGAAAGATTCCCAGTTTCCACGTTAGAAGCAAAGATAGTAACTAGAGTTTTCTAGAATAAGGAAAATACACACACACACACACACACACACACAGTGGGGGGAGGGGACACATGGAATTGAAGGAGAAATGGACACAGTTTCCTATAAACCACAAGATGGAGTATTTCAGATCTACAATGGAGTGTGGTCATAGTGAGCAAAGGAAGATTACAAAGAAGTTAGAGCCAGTTTGTATCTGCATGGTAACCCAAGGTAAAATACTGCATTGTTACATAATCCTGAAAAATTCTGTTGAATTTCACAATGTTCTGCTCCAGGAAGGACATTGTCTGGAAGTCTTTGCTAACCCGTGAAGAACACTGAACTGAGATATTGTGTTGTGATTAGGGGCTAAGTACATGAACTCTAAAGGATTTCTTTCTTTTTTTTTTTTTTTTAAAGATTTTATTTATTTGACAGAGAGCACAAGCAGGGGGAGC